AATTCAAATTTATCAAAATCGTAAGTCTCTATATCAAAATTCTCAAGGTGTGTCTTTCTCGGTCTATCAAATCTTCGAAGTATGTCTTTATCGGTCCGATGAAGATCTTTCTCTTTCTCATGTTACTATAACTTTTAAAATATTTAATGAAAGGAACATATAGAGGACCACATAGACAAGACATCAAAGTTTAGCTTGCTTATTGGTGGGAGTATTCTCAACTTTTAAGTAATTTCATTACTTTTGAAGAGCCAAATTTATAGAACATAATGACTAAACTGCCCTCAGATCTTTATTGGGAATATATGGTTTAGGTTGAATATAAAGTAAGAATAGTCAATGGACCCTTTTTGTCCCCCTTCCCATTTCCTCTCAATTCAACAAAATAACAAATAAAAAAATAATTGAATAATTATTACTTAAGGGTAAAGTATGATAAATAATAATCATCAAGGCTTAATTATTTAAGGTTAAAGTATGATTGTGTAGAAGACTTTTTAACCACTCTATTGATTATTTATATAATAATAAGTAAATAATTATACAGTGGAACAATTTTCTTGGCACGTGCAATGACAAACTTTTTAAAGCTTGAAATGTTCCTCCCACGCGCCTCTCCCTCCTTCAAATCCTCACCACATTGACTTGGTATTGAAATTAGTAGGGGTATAATCGGGTTCGGTTTTCTGTCGAAGTCGACTTTATGAGATAATTTAATCGAATCGACTATTTGATTGAAGTTGATAAGGTCGACTATTTGATTAGAATGGATCAATCTTATTGTTAGGTGTGAAATTTCACTTTTGTCCTTAAGGCTTTCAAATATTTTGATTTGGTCCTGTAAAGTATTTACCGAGAACTCCACGTAGACACATGTTTTGTTCATTTAATTGATGAATACATGTCTGCGTAGACAAGTGTTTTAAGCCACATGTATTAGATCGATGATGAGTACAAATTCATTTTTGGTGCAAAATTTAGACAACTAAAACATAATGTTTGAAAGTTAAAAGGACAAAAACAAGACATACGAAATGTTAGGCATGAAATTAGACAACAAAATAAACGACACGATGCTGTAAAAGCGATTGCAAACATTTTTCAAGAAGGGAATTCGACCCCGACATTGATTCATGTCCCATCTCTATGGGATGATTTTGACTTGCTACTGCAAATTCTTTCCCATAAAATATGGTAAAGAAAAATAAATCAAATAAATTTTCTTTTTCTTTTTAATAAATAATGAGAAAATATAGCTTAGACACATAGTTCTAAATATCCGTCAACATGTCGATATTTCCATTGACATAATCATGTTTTCATGAGTTCGACATCAACATGAAGGGTGAATCGATATTTTTATCATAGTACAAGAAAATCGACAAAATATGAAAAGTATCAACGAAATATCACTAATATTAATATTAATTATTTTTAACTAATTTAGAAATGGAAAAATATTTATTTGTTAATTTAAATATTTTTTACGATTTCTTTATTTTTATAACTTTTATAGAAATATCCATCGTCATCAACATTTTATCGATATTTCAATGAAGTTGAGATCTCGACATTTCCATCGACATCAACATTAAAAACTCTGCTCAGACACAGTTCGTTCTTTTAAAAACTATTTTCAACACTTTCATTCGTCATTGAATTTATTATTGTTTTAAACAATGATAGCTATGTCCCTTTGAATAAATATGTAATAAATTTTAAATACATGAATTGTTGGCATATGTGATTATTAATGACATGACCATATCAAATAGGGTAGGTACATTTTTTATAAATAAAATAAAATAGAATAGAATATTATTAGCATATTTACTTGGTATAATTTATTATTTTTTAAAATTTGTAAATTATAAAGAGGAATGAAAATGATAGGATTAGATTGGAATGAAAGGAAACTTGTTTAGCAATTAATATGTTGGGTTTTAGTTAGATAATTAATTAAGTTTGTTCTTAGTTTTTCCCCTTTTTCTTCTTTTTTTTAATAAATTTCTTTAAAATTTTAGGTTTGAGCTTACCAAAGTTTGATGGTTTTTGTTTTTTACTATGAGTTGGAAGTTCAAGAGACATAACTATCGTTGTACTACGATGGAAATATGTCGGACTGAAACATCTAACCTTTTAAATTTGATTATATGTTTCTTTGGAATCTATTATTTTTGAAAAAAGTCATTAACGTTTTGAGCATTTTTAACTTTTCGATTTCTTTTAAACAATACAATGTTACAAATATGGAGAAAAACATCCTCGATAAAAAAAATTACAAACATCTTAACTAATTGAATTTTAGCTATAATCAGATTAATGAAATTTAATTATTATCATTACTATTTTGAAAAGATTTAATTATAATATGGGTGGGGTGGATAACACTATACACCAACCAACGGTGACATGCCAACATTATGTTCCAATTTATAGAATATCAAATTTCATGATTTGGAGTATTTTTTTTATTTACTAAAATAAGCAATTGAATTTTTATTGGAAAATAATATATATTCGGACTTGGTTTTATAACTATTTTATTTTTTATACTCTTTTCTTTTTTCCAAAAAAAAAAAGTTTATTTACTTGTAATTTTAGAAAATGGTTTTAAAAATCATGATAAATCTTAAAAATTAAAATGCAGTTTAAAAGCAAACAATAAAAAAACTTCCAGAAAAAAACTACCCATAATAATATTTAATATGGGTAGTTTTTTTTTCTCGAAGTTTAAATTAAAAATTATTAATAACTATTTTATTAAAATGCTTTTTATCAATCATATAGTATTCATATTAATAATTTTTAGTTAAGGCACGTATCTCTTACTAAAAGGTCATGAGTTTGAATCCCCACCCCTTTAAAAAATATTAATAATTTTTAATTTAGTTAAAAATGTGAAATACTTATTTGTTTATGAGTTATTTATTTTTATAATTTTTTAAAAAAGTATCCAAGGACATAGATGTTTACAATTTTATGCATACATATGCTTTATTTGCTTGGTCGTTCTTTTTAATATAAAATTCATGCAAAATTTTAGTCACATTTTTTAAATAAAAAACACAATCTTGGAAACGATCTTCGCGACCATGTTGTAAAAATATAATCGAAAATAGATTACAAATTGAAGACAAATATAAATAAATAAACATTATCAAACAACTCTACAATAGCTCTTAAAGTCACTAGAGACTAAATAAATATTTGACCAAAAAATACGAAATAAATAATAATCATCATACCTATTTGTAACTATTTTCTTATAAAATAAAGATTATGTAAAAGGAATGCCTCAATATTTCAGATTCATTCTTTATAGATTGATTTTTTTTTTTTTTTTTGAGTTAAGTTCTTAATGTCAGAAAACATTAAAAGTCAACTAACAAAATGATCACTAATGTCAAAATAAATTTTATTAGTTAGGTTTAAAATACTTTGTTTTAATTTGGTGGGATAGATATTGTTGATGTCAAATTTAGGCTATTTCGAATTCCACCAAATTCACACCAAATGAAGAAACGGGAACAAACGTAGATCATAGCATTGAACACCAGTGTGGTGCTAGCCAAACAGACTCCGATACCTAAGTCAGTATCGGATATAGCCAAGTATGGAAAGTAGGCTTCTTTAACATACATCTATGGTTTTGTCTAACATTCTATTTATAGAAGTCTAATCCTGACGCTCCTAGAAAATCATGTCTTCTAGGTTTGTGCATTTTATTGTGGGCCATCGATCGAATCGAGGAGTTGTTGGCCTGTTTGGGATCTCACCAAGACGGGATAGGTTTGGGTCGAGCTGCACATAATAGTTGAACTGGTCAATGCCGATTCATGGTCGGCCTTGGTCGATCTGGGTCGCTCGACCTCTATATGGAGGGTTCTGAATTCCTGCTTGGTTTGTATATTTTGACCTTCTTCACCTTTTATCCAACTTAGGTCTCTTTTCGTTTTGTTGGATCTCATTTGACCTGTCTATAATAGATTTACCGCCCATTAAATTAGAAAAAAAAATTGTTCATTTGTAATGCTAATCCTGACCAATTTGAGAAAAGGTTAATATATGGATTGAAACATATATTGAATAATGCTTAACTACTCTTTTAGTTGATGGTGTGTATTTATAGCGACTAAAAAGTTTTAGTATTATTCACGTTTCTATTAAATATAATAGAAATAAACCACGAAAAATACGTCATATCAGTCAATCAGAGCATACACGGGTGTCCACGGGTAAAGACACGTGTATCCAACCATGAAGTTGAGAGTTCAAATTCCCACCCCCACATATTGTACTAAAAAAAATACGCCACATAAGAAAGTTAATAGTAGATTATTATAGAAATATTCATTTTAGTTATTGTAATTTTAACTTTTGTTCATTTTAATTATTGTACTTTCAAAATATCCGTTTTGATCTTTGTTTTATGGCTACAATTGCGATGAATTTAGTAGGTGAAATGTCATACTAAAAATAAAAATGAAGAGACTAAAATAATCAATTTTTAAATTTATATCCACCAAAAAAGAAAATATAAAAATATAAAAACTAAAATGAATAAAAGTTGAAAATTAATGTTCAATCTTTCAAAAATACAAAAACTAAAAAGAATTAAAGTCCCGAAGTACATGGACCAAACTAAAATACTTGATCCGATTGGAGAAAAATTTTCATACTATAAAAATATGAATACTCCTCCATTCATGAGTCTACTAATGTTAAAAATGATTTATAAAAACAAAATCATAACTCGAACAAAAGAGTATGAGATTCTCTCAAATCATAGTTTCACAACGCTGAGACAAGTCAATCTGAGCATAGCTATTTCCGACCAGAAGGTAGTAATCCGAAAGAAAAGAACGGTTAGACAAAGCCCACTCTCCCGAGTACGCGTGGAGTTTAGTCGTCGTTGAGGTAGAGAAAAGTCAACAACGTCTGCTGTGTGATATGGTTGCTGTCGATGGCTGTGCTCTGATGTGAAGGAAACGCCAAAAATATTAGTAAATTGCAAGCGCCAACCAACCGCCACAATGCCCTCCCCTCCCTCTCCCTTTCATCATTTTCCCCCATTTTCAATCTCCCTCCCATTTTCTTCCCCACCCTCAATTTTTCCACTCCCCCATCCTTCTTCTTCTTCCACCCTCCCTCTGCTTCTTTCAATTCGAAGGGTTTTCTTCAGTTCCACTGGGTTTGTGTTCAATTTTTGGAATGTGAATTGGGTTTTTGTGATTGTGGCTTGTGGGTTGAAACTGGGCAGGATTTCGTTCTTTGCTTGTGATGGTGTTTGGGAGCTAATAGCAAGATGCCCATGAGGAGAAATCGTGCGTATGTTTTTCTGCTGTCGTTTTGCTGCTCCATGCTCCTTGCTGCTGCTGCAACCACAGAGCCATCAGATGGTAAATTTGCATACTGTTCTTGGTTGGTTTAAGTTGAGTGACTATGGCTAGTTTTAGTTTTGCAATGGTCTCGGTAACTTTGTTCCATTTCCTTTGCAATTTGTTTAATTTTCCATGTATGTCTAGGAGGAGGAGTGGAGTACTTGTGGACTCCTCTGCTTGCTTCATTAGTAAACAACTTTGTAATCCCAGAACTATTTATGGAACTCTCTAAGATTTCTTTCCCGTTTCTTTTCTTCTCTGGGATGATGGGACCCTTGATTTGATACTCATGCAACTACTTCATATATTGAGTGTATCATAACGTTGCATTGAAGACGACTGTAGAATTTTATAGACACCAAGTTGCTGCTTCAAACTACTGTTCCATTAACTGCTTTACAAAATGATTTTTCTGTTAAAGACTGTTCAGTGGCATGGCATATCATTTAGAGTTAAATATTTTTTGAGTCTCCTTATCTTAACTTATGATTTGTCTGTCTGCAGTTAAAGCATTGCTAGCAGTAAAGGGGAGTCTAATTGATTCTATGGGCCGTCTTAAGAATTGGAATATGGGAGATCCTTGCACAAGTAATTGGACTGGAGTAGTATGCGACTATTCCGATGGAGCGGTCGGGAACTTACGTGTCAAAGAACTGTATGTTTTCTCTAGAACTCTATCCCCTTCCTTTGTTTTCTCTTTATTTTCCCCCTACCTAAGTTAAAACAGTTAGATCAAGGAGAAACTCACAAATTTTAAAATATAATCAGTGACCATTATGAGCGTATAATGGCTGAAATAATATTCTTTGTTTGATAACACTCAGATATGTAGGTTTGGCAGTATATTATATTTGCATTTTTCCCCTTTTTTTGTTGCAGCCAGCTATTGAATATGAACCTATCTGGAAACTTGGCCCCTGAGATTGGCCAATTGTCGGGACTCGAGAAGTTGTGAGTAGTTGACAATGAAATTGACATCTTAAAGAAAATTCCATTATTCAATTTTATACTTCCCTTGACATTCTTTCTGGTAATGATAATTTTTTTCTATTGGTTTCTCCTGGAAGAGATTTCATGTGGAATAACCTAACTGGTTCAATTCCAAAGGAGATTGGCAGTATTAGGTCGCTGAAACTCTTGTAAGTTAATCTCACTTATTTCTTCTTGTTTATTTCCTTCACCTGCTTGTGTACACTTTTCCTCCCTTCATAAGAGAAATTTTGTAATTTAACTACATTCTTCTTATTATTACTGCAGCAAGAGAACCTACATGATCTCAACTTTTTCATAATTATCCTTTTTTTTATTTAATTACCAACACCTGGGGCTTGTTTCTGTTCTTATACTTGTTGAGAGACTTGGTTTGTTCATTGTGAGAGAGAGAGATCACTCATGAATTTAGGGTTGAATGTGTTAGTAAAAGAGGGTATATTTGTATAGTGGAGTAAAATTACTACTTTTTTTCATGTTGGGTTCTTCTAATAGTTTGATGTTTGTGGTGTTACAGACTCTTAAATGGAAATAAACTATCTGGTCCTCTTCCAGATGAGCTTGGTAATCTTACAAACCTCAACAGATTTCAAATAGATGAGAATCAAATTTCAGGGCATATACCAAAATCATTTGCTAACTTGATCAGCGTGAAGCACTTGTAAGTGGGTCTTCATCTATTTTCATTTTAAGTTGACCAAAAGAATAGTTTTTTGTTTTATTCATTTTCCCATTTCTTCATTTACTTTGCAGCCACTTCAATAACAACTCACTTAGTGGTCAAATTCCATCTGAGCTTTCCAAATTACAAAATCTTCTTCATTTGTGAGTATTTAGGTTCCGAGAAATGTACAGAGGTGATCGATAAATTGTTTCTTGTCCAAAAATGTGTGTGTATATGGAAGTGATTGAGAGGGCACACTTCCAATGATTTTTTTTTTCTTTTCTCTTTACAGGCTTTTAGATAACAATAACTTGGCAGGTTCTCTGCCACCAGAACTTCCAACTTTGCAAACTCTACGCATTCTGTAAGTTCTCCTTGATTATGCAGACAAGTAGCTTATAGTATCTTCAAAAAAATTTGTTTTCTTTCACTTTTTGTCTGCTTTCTGTACAATTATATTAAGACTCATTGTTGGTCCATGGGGCCAGGGTAATTTTTCTTTTTATGAGAAACCAACTTTTATTAAGAGGAATGAAATTGCGAAGAGACTGTACAAAAACACAGGCTTAGAGAACACTAATAGGTTGACACATTGCAAAAATGCGAATCCAATTGTTAAAATAAAAATCACAAATACCCTATACATAGATCAACAGTGAGGCATCTAAGTGCAGTGCTCCAAATCTCTTCCCACAAACTTCAACATCATAAAACATTATCCTGTTAAGAAATTGGCTGGCCACAAATGCTTCCATTTTCCATAAAAAGAGAATACAAAAGGACGTCCTTCATCATTGCTCTACAATTCCTTTGAAGGACCTAAGAGTATAAGACAACCCAAGACCAAATATTCACAGTGAACAGACACCTCCAGAAAATCTAATCAATATCCTCAGATACCTGTTCGCAAAATGCACATCAATGGGGTTCAGCATCAAGGAAGAAGATTTCTGTGTTAAATAAGTGGGAAAGGGAAGATCTCCGGGTCTAGGTAAATTAATGAGTAGCTTTCATATATAAAAAAAGCAAGCTATTTGGTTTGAGCGTGGAGGATATTCTTTGTATGTTGTTATGGGAATGCAGTAGTGTATTATTTGTAAATGAGTGTTGGAGGATATGAATCATATTTTGTTTAGATGCCACTTTGTCACGAAGATGTGGGATAGGCTTTGAGACCTTTTGTGCTTGTATGGCTCCGAATAGCGGATGATGCTTTATGATGGACTTGGTACTTCAGCATCTGTTGTTCCATGGTAGACTAGAGGAAGAGTTCTCCGGAAGACCCTTTTTTTCTTTGTATGGAATATTTGGGTAACAAGTGAGAATTGTTAAGGATGTGGATGGATATTGGGTGCAGGTTTGGGGTTTGGGTTGCTTTAATACCTCCATTTAGGGGTGCACAAGCAACCCTTTTTTTTTTTTGGGATAACAGGGAGTCGGAGTTTTGGTCCCCTACACCCAAAGGCACCCATGCCCACCCCAAGGCCCGGACCTAGGAGTCATGTGCACAAGCAATTTTACTTTACTTTAGTTTTAAAAATTCTATTTTGTTGTTGATTCTTAACATTTTTTTTTAATTATTAATTTTAGGCTTATTTTTGTTTTGGGCTTGTATTTTTGTATGACTTGACACAGAATCTGGTTTTCTAATTTAAAGGAAAAAAATCACCATCTTGGTAATTGTTAATATTTCGTCCAGTTTTTTCAGTTTCTTAGTCAACTTACCTGCTGAGGAATTTAACCAACATACATAATGTTCCTTTTTTGTTTTTGGTTATATTCTAATCTCTACACTGCCCTTCTTGGCAGGCAACTTGATAACAACAACTTCGAAGGTGAAATTCCAGCATCTTATGAAAACTTTTCTACATTGGTGAAATTGTAAGTGTTACTTACATGGTGTTCCTCTCGGTTTTCACTTTCCATGCTATTCATTTTTTATATTTCTGCAATAGAACGACTCTAAATTCTAATGGTGTTCATAATTTTCCCTCTATGAAAAAGGATACATGTTAACTTTGACATGCATGCCTTTTAACATCAATCATGCTCTTTGTTTGTCCTTGCCTTACCCACTATAAAGTTATTAGCATGATGGTGATCTATTAAGATTTGAATATCTTATTATTGTATTTTCCACAAATATATATGCTTTGGAATGTAAATCATGAAGATTTTTCCAAATAAGCAATTGGCTCCATGAATCTTCTTGAATGGTACTAATGCTTTTCTCTACCACCATTATGGTTCTGGCAGAAGTCTTAGGAATTGCAGCTTGGGAGGACCGATTCCTGATTTTAGCAAGATTCCAAATCTCAGTTACTTGTAAGTTACAGGACCTCTATATGGGTTTACTTTGTTTCATTAAATATTTTATTTTCATTCTCTTTTTGGCTAATGATCATAGCTATGATATTTGTTACTTTCTTTTTTCCACAGGGATCTTAGCTGGAATCATTTTACTGGACCGATACCGCCATATAACCTCTCTTCTGAAATGACAACAATGTATGTCAATGACTAGTGTTGAATTATCATATTTGCATTTATTTTCATATTAGGCTTTCAGTTCGTTGGAATCATAACCTAATATTGAATAACGCATTTTTACGAAAGTACCATGGTCAACCACACACAGACATTCATTTAAATTTAATGCAAAATTACGAATTGCCTGGAGATTTTCTCATGCTTAGCAAATCCATTGATGCTGTAGAATTCTGTCGCATAACCAGCTGAATGGATCCATACCCAGCAGTTTCTCCGATCTTCCTGTCCTCCAGAAACTGTAAGATCGTTTTTGATTTACACGTGGTTTTACAAATGTTAGCATGAAAAAGTGGCAATGACTGTTCGTTTTTGATCGTTTTTGATCCATACAAATGTTTATCAAAGCATCTTATTTACATTTTTCATTTCAGTGATTTAATAATTCAGCATTTTCTTGCTGCGTTCACTTGATATATTCTTGTCAATGACTGTTCCTTGCAGGTCACTTGAGAACAACTCTCTGAATGGTTCTGTACCTTCTTCACTATGGGAGAAAATGTCCTTCAATTCAAGTGCTCGACTTACACTGTAAATCCTTGAACAAAAAAATAGGATAGGAATTTGAGACTTTCTTGGAGTTCCCTTCCTTTTTCTTTAAGCATAAAAGGCTGTCCTTTATGGAGTGAGATCTGATGACGTTTTTATTTTGGGAGTAAATTTGTTCATGATTTATGAATGATCACCTCTCTTTCTTTTTTATGCAGTGATCTTCAGAACAACGCGTTTTCGAACATTTCTGGAAGCACAAACCCTCCAGCTAATGTCACCCTAAGGTATACATTTTATTCATGCAGGTTCTTTCACTGGCTTTGATCTACCCCATTTTTTCCTTTCATCTTATGCATCCTACTCCATAGACGGCTTTCCTTTCCTCCACTCTCCACTTTTGCAATTACAAATACTTTCATGCCCTTCAGTGATGAAAGCTTTTTCTTTGATTTTAGATTATATTTTTTAGGCATGAATCTGTATGCATTGGCCGCATCAAACTGTGGGTACTATCATAGGAAAGTACTGTTAACAGGCTCTGTTCAGTATCTTTTTCGTCAGAAATTTAGCTGATGTCTTATACACACACTCAACTATATATTGTAAATGTATGTCGGTATTTTTCTTTTCTATAATTTCTCACGCAAAATGCAAGTTTCTGCAGACTGCATGTATTATATGCACACATGGAATTCAAATGTCTGAGTTGTTACGTTACTGCCTTGTTGGTAACCATATTTGCTAGGTTAAAACTTGAAAGAGTTCTTTCTATAATCCTCATTCAACTATATTTCGTTCTGTAGGCTTGAAGGAAATCCAATCTGCAAAAATTTAAGTGGAAAAAAGTCTAACCAGTTCTGTGCATCTAAAATTGTAGAGGATGGGATGCATAGAGGATTAGGCAATGAAACATGTCCAGTTAAAGGTTGCCCAACAGATAGTTTTTTTGAATATGTGCCAGATTCTCCTTCATGCTTTTGTGCATCACCCCTTGGGATCGGATATAGGCTGAAGAGTCCAAGTTTTTCTTACCTTCCCCCATACGTATTTTCATTTCAAGCATATCTGACAAGGGAAATCAGTTTGGATAAGCATCAATTGTTGATCGATTCATACGATTGGGAAGGATCTCGCCTGAGGATGTATCTGAAGATTTTTCCATCATTTGATAGCGGTACTCATATGTTGAATGGAAGTGAGGTGATTCGAATTACAGAAAAGTTTATGTCATGGAATTTTTCTCGAGAAGACTTCTTTGGCCCATACGAGCTTCTCAACTTCACGCTCCCTGGCCCTTTTCAGACTGGTATGTGTTCCTTCTAAATAATGATGAGTATACTTATACCAACAATCGTGTTGACTGGCCTTGTGATTTAATTATTAGTATATTGTGAACATTTATTTTCTTGTATACTGGAGTCCTTGGTGGTTGAACATTTTTTCTAGACACTATTAATTGCTTGAAACTGAGTTTTTTTTTTTTTGGCTGTCTATATTTGAATTTAACCGTACAAGTTCATCAGTGCAGTCATTTTCCAGAAACAGAAGACAGGCATTGGTGCGGGCATCTTGGCAGCCATTATAGTTGGGTCCATTGCCTGTGTTCTCTTAATCGTAGCGGTAACCATACTTCTGTTCATTAGGCGATCCAGTTACCGTCACAACTCATCAAGGAAAAACTTCTGTAAGTATGGTAGAACAGACGGTTAAATTAAAATCTGATAACTATCACATAAAGTGCTCTGAAATTTTCAATCGTTGCAGCTTCTAAGATTGGTCTCAAAATTGATGGTGTAAAAGCATTTTCTTTCAAGGAAATGCAATCAGCTACTGGAAGTTTTAACCGCTCAACTCAAGTTGGCCAAGGAGGTTATGGCAAAGTCTATAAAGGCATATTGTCAGATAATTCAGTTGTAGCCATCAAGCGTGCAGAAGAAGGATCCTTACAAGGCCAAAAGGAATTTTTGACAGAGATACAACTCTTATCGAGATTACATCACCGAAACTTAGTTTCCCTAATCGGATATTGCGACGAAGAAGGGGAGCAGGTATGTTGGCCTCCTTTCTTGATTTTATTGAGGTCCTAGGATATTGTTCTTTTTTGGGGGGTCAAGCATTCATCTAATCATCAATTTTAAACTCGATAAGATTCTTTCAAGAGTCCTATGAATTGAAGGCAGAGTTGGTGTCTGACACTTATACTTGGCCCTTTTTAACGTATCCACCCTACCTAGGTGATAACCTGGTTTCAGAAATGTAACTTATTCTGATTGGCAGTGGCACATGCACCAGGAAGATGTAGCTATGCTTTTCATTGATTTTCAGGGTGATTTATTTTGTTCTATGTCTTTCTACAGATGCTGGTTTACGAGTTTATGCCGAATGGAACTTTGCGGGACTGGCTTTCTGGTTTTGGACTTTCTGGTATTGGTCTCAGCAAACAAATTCTCTTGCACCTAACATATTAGTTGCATCATTAACTTCTACTGTTCTATGGCAGCCAAAACTACAGCTACAGTAAACCTGAACTTTCTTATGAGACTACAAATTGCACTGGGTTCAGCAAAAGGCATACTGTATCTCCATACTGAAGCAAATCCTCCTATATATCACCGCGACATCAAAGCTAGAAACATACTCCTTGATGCCAAGCTCACTGCCAAAGTGGCTGATTTTGGATTGTCGCGTCTTGCTCCTGATCTCGATTACGAAGGGGCTGTTCCTGGACATATATCTACTGTTGTGAAGGGTACCCCGGTAAGTTTATATTGACAACCATGGTCAACATAAAGCGTCTGAAACCCTAAACCCTATGGGAACGTTCTATGATGTTTTCTAGTGTAGCTTTTGGCTTCGGTTCATTTTCAAACCGTCCATTTTTTTCCTTGTAACTTTTATTTATTTTAGTCTATGTACCTTCAAAAGGTTCATTTTGGTTCCGGTACTTTTAAAAAAGGATCATTTTGGTCCCTTCACTTTCATTTTTATCGCTTTCTTTTGATCACAATTTTAACTTAACACTTCATTCACTCAATTTTTTTTAGACATAAATTTGTATTAAAGGGTTTCCATTTTTCTAATATTTGTGTTTAAATTTTGCAAATAGTGACCAAAATAGTCACATTTTGAAAGTACAAGGACTAAAACGAATAGTTTGAAAGTATAAAAGACTAAAATGAACAAACGTCGAAAGTATAAGGATCAAAATAAATATCTTGAAAGTATAGGGACCAAAACGAATCAAAGTTGAAGGGACACCAAGATAGTATTTAAACCTATTTAAAATAACAAAACTGCAGTTTCAATTCCTCTTCATTCAAATCAAGTCTTGCCTTATAGTACAAAATATTCAGAATTCCAAGTTGTTTCTTAGCTTTTTTAAGTGTTCTGTGTATGATGCAGGGTTATCTTGATCCAGAGTACTTTTTAACCCATAAATTGACAGACAAGAGTGATGTTTATAGCCTTGGAGTGGTGTTTTTGGAGCTCTTGACGGGCATGCACCCTATTTCACACGGCAAAAACATCGTTCGTGAGGTATATTTCTTCTTCACAATTTGTCTTCTACACTTCATTTTCTTACTTAAAACTGTCAAAGGTATTTTGTAATTTTCTTACTTAAAACTGTCAAAGGTATTTGGTAAAAGATTAAGTTTACTGTAACTCATCAGCTTAAGCTTTTGGGTTGATCGGTGATTTAACAAAATATTTTGTGCTTGCCAACATGGCCATCAATTGGTTTGTCAAATTGCATTAGCCTTAGCTACTTTATTTTCTTTAACCGTCCTTTTTTTTTGGGTTAAATTACAATTGTGATCCTCCTACTTTGTTACTTCTATCATTTTAGCCGTTTATTTTCTAAATGCATCAATTTAGTCCTCATCCTTCATTATCTAATCATATAGTCATTGAAAACTATATCGCTCATATAAAAATTGACATAGTGCGTTGATATGTCACATTCAAACTTTAAAAGTGGTTTCATGCTAGTTTCCATGTCGTGTCATATCATCTTTTTTAAACTACTTAACCAGATAGTTAGTGGCAAGTACTAAGTAGATACATTTATAAAATCACAAGAACTGAAATGAAACCAATGAAGATATAGATTTCAAAAGTAAAAGCACAATTTTTATTTAGTGTGCTTTCATGTTGTGGTTCCTTTGAAAGCTTCGTAACTTTTTACCATCTCAATGAAAAGTTTGTTTTAGTTTTAAAAAACAGAGGGAAAAATGTGTAGCTTGGCATTAAAGGCACCTACTCCTTCTCTTGAAGTCGGAGCTTTAAATCTCAAGACCACCGAAAGCTTTAAAGTGTGTGAACTAAAGTCTAAAACTAACCTGTTATTTTGACATGTCAGGTAAAATTGGCACATCAACTGGGAACAGTTCTTTCCATTGTAGACACTAGGTTGGGTTCTTTTGCACCGGAGTGTTTAGAGAGGTTTGTCGCTTTGGCTCTCAGTTGTTGCCACGACAAGCCAGAAGAGCGGCCATCAATGCGGGTCGTGGTGAGGGAGCTAGAGAACATACTAAACATGATGCCTGATGATGGCAGCACCTCGTATTCGGACTTATCCCCAAAATCAAGCACCAGAGTTCCGTCCTCACCAACATCATCATCCTGCATCACCCATGAACAGTTTGCATCGGGAAGCATTTCGGGAAGCGATCTCGTCAGCGGCATCGTGCCAACCATCAGACCTCGCTGATATTTGGTTTCGCTTCTGCTTAAACATCATGGTGTGTGCCTGCTTGATGCTTGGTTGTAACTTGTAACTAAACTATGTTCTTGCAAATTCCCCATATGTTTAGCTAATGTTTCTGATAACAAAGTAGGATGGATGAAAATTGGACTCTTCAAACTATGAAGAGATTTACTTCTTACTTCAACTCAGTATATAATATATACACAAATTTTTTTTTTTATATAGAAAAGGCTATGGAGGTGGGAAATTTGAATTCTTGATGGATGCTTCAAATTGAGTCTATTTTATCAATGAGTTGTCGAATACATAGATGGCAAATCTATGATATATGGTGAAGGTTAAAGCTTAAAATCAAGTTTCATAAAGCAATATAGGATGTCTTTTTTGCTTTCAGAAAAAGCGTACATGTGAGTATCTGGAGAAGCTGATTTTTTTAGTTTTATTTTATCAACATTCAAACTAAAAGCTCTTGTTTTCCTACAATCTTAAAATTTCAAAGCTCAATCGAGAACTACAATAGAAGAGTCACGTTCTATTATCATCGTAAGAAAACTCGTGATTTGATACATCTCACCATCTAATACAAAATGGAGGTTAAGAATCAAAAAATAATACTAGATTCACAAGCAAGAATCTAACCCGAACATAGGTAAAAGGTTGGAGGGAGATCTCTCTCCTAATTTTATTAGGTACACTAGCCATTAGATTAAATTTATGTAGTTAGTTTATTAAATTTAATAAAAAACCATAAATGAACTCATTTATAGTTATTAAATTTGTGGAGTTGACCTAAGATTATAAAATTGAATGAAACAACATTTTAAAAGTTGCAAGAGTCTTGAAAATTGAATACTAAAAAGTAGAAATGGCAAGAAAAAAAATCTACATTTTAATCTTTGTTTTTTGGATACAATTTATCAAATTTAAGGATAAATTGGGACAAAATAAGGATAAACTTTTTAGTATATTTTATATGTTGAAATGGTAAATTGATCAGAAATATTTAATAAATCTCTAAAATTTTAACTTAAATTTTTAATTTTATATTTAATATATGTTTGATTACATTTTTAAAGTTCAAATATCTTTCTTTAAAAAAAATAATAATAAAATTCAAATATCTATTCAAAACTAATAAAATTTGAAAGATATATTAAACCTTTTTTTTTAACTCAACTCTGAAAATGTAATAAACTATCCTAAATAATTTTAAACATTCAACATCTATTAAATACTTTTTAATTTATGAAATTATTCGACACAATATTAAGATTCAGAAACCAAATCAATAATTCAATTAAAAGAAATTAATAACTAAATTGGTAATACTTGGCAGGCTAGCATTTTAGCTCCTGTCATTGATATAGTCTGCTTGAAATTTATTTTCACAAATTAGTTATTACATTTTATTTCGTTTATGAAATATGTGATGTTTCTTTTATTATTTGTCTGTTTTATTAGTTGTATTGTTGACTTTCTTGTTAGTGTTCCTATCGTTTCATTGACAAGTCTTTTTATTTTATTTATGTCTTAATTACAGATGGTGAGATCAACTTTTTTTCTTACAATATATTTTTTCTAATATAATAACATGTGGAGGCAAGAATTCAAACCCGACCAAAAGGCGGTGAAATAGTTTAACCTCAAAAAAAAATCTAAAAAAAGAAAAGACAATGTAAATGGGAGACAGATGGAATATAGTTTGTCTGTATTCTTCCGTTGACTAAATAACCAAACACAAAACAGTGACTCAAAGTCGTCTGTTTTGCTCCAAAACAATGTGCTCTTTTCTCTCTCTTCCCATTTTCTATTTGTTCCAATTCTAATTTTTTTTCCACCTATATTCATATTCATTAATTTCTATTTTACCCTTTTAAATTTTGAATATTTTATTTTGGTATCTCATATTTCAAAATTTTTTTTGAAATCCCTAATTTTGTTAGGGTAGTTTTAAATGGTTTTCGTATAAAATTCATATATTAAAATATAATAGTTGAAATATTGAGTTTAGAATCCAATTAGAAGAAAAGTTCAAGGTTTTAATCTTTAAACTTTATAACTGTTTTTAAGTATGTTTCTGTTTTGGTTAAATGTTATTAATATTAGTGGTCTCCATTATGTCTTTATTTAATAGATATATTAGTGGTCTTTCTATTTTCGATTTTAGTTAATTTTTTTGTCTCTGTATTTTTAAAATATCTATTTTGATTCAGGTATTTTTTCACTTCGGTTCATTTTAATACCAGTTCGAAATATTCATTTTGATCATTCAAAAGTGACCATTTCGATATTTTATTTTCATTTCTCTCATTTCAATTATAATTTTAACCTGATATTTTACTCATTAAATTTTTTCAAATGTAGTCATGATTTGTGTTAAAAAAGTTTCTATTGTTTATTAAAATTGTTATATTTTTGCAAATAGAGACTAAATTGATCCATTTTTAAAAGTACAAATACCAAAACGTAACGAACGCTTTTAAAATATAAGGACAAAAATGAACAAAAATTGAAAGTACGTTAACTAAAATGAATCGAAGTTGAAAATATAAAGATTAAAATTAACGTTTTAAAGGTACATTGARTAAAATAACAAAGTCGGATCAAAATAATATTTAAACCAAAATATAATCTAAAATTTAGGGAAGTAAAGGATATATTTTAAAATATAGGGACTAAAAAATAAATTATATAATTAAAGCAAAGTTGGAATTTTTATTTTACTTCCGTTTTAAGATCGGCGGTGAGGTAAGGCTTCCTATTATTCCTTCCACCAACCACCTTCGCCTAAGTCTTGAGAGGTGGGGAGCGCCTTTTTTTTTTCCGCAATTTGTCATTGTAAGTTCAATTTCTCTTCCAATTCTACTTCTTGTCAATTCCCCGTCTTTGATTTCGCTGTAATTTCCACTTTCCATGTCTGTTCTTGTTTCAATTTCGACTTTTTAGGGTTCTATTCGCATTGTGTTGTTGTTCATTGCCTTCAATTTCGTTCAAGATTGCGTCTTGCACCCATTATTTCTTTCTTTCGTTGGTCGTTCTTAAAAGGGTTGTTGCAATTTCGTCTTGAATTGCTTGAAACGCTTCCCTTATGTTGAGAAATTATGTTTTGGGGCTTTGGATCACAGAATTGGTTGATTGTTGTGAAGAACATCTAGCAGTTTGATACACGTTCGATTTTTTTTTTTATTTCAATTTTTTCATCATGAAGGGATTGTTGTTGACTTTGTGGTAAGCGTCAATTTCTTATCCTTTTGTTATTGACCTTCTCATTCTGCCGGCCACTTTCTTTGTATTCTTTAATTTGTATTTTGGAGAAGATTTTTGCGTATTTGTAGGAGATTTGTTGATTTACGGTTCAGAAAATTGGATTGGATATTATTTAGGTGATTCTATCCCAGCACTCTTTGTTGGTGGTTTTAGAAATTATCTCATACCATTCTTCGATTCTTTTGATTGCTCCTCTTTCTTATCTTGGTCTGTCAAGACAGTTGGATCTGCAAATAATATCTCTTATGATATAAAAATGCGCTTCATCGTTTCCCCATTTTCATCATTCACCCGGTGAAAGTGGAGAACATAATCACCATCATGGTCATGTTATTTGAGAAATGTTGCATTTTTTCCCTCTTTTTTGGTTGATAATGCTGCGTTAATTTCTTATTCTAATGATCACTCTCTGATTCAGACCATAGCTGCAAAGGCGTCTCCCTAGTGTTATCTAACAAGAAAGGGTGGTTTTTTAAATTTTGAATAGAAGAAGGATTGTGGTTTCTGGAAGTGTTGTGTTATAAGCTCATTGACTCGGAAGAAGTCAAATACTCTTGTAGGATTGAGGTGAAGTAGTGAAAGACTCTTTGCTTTGTGCCTGTTGACAAACATGTGTTTCTAATTATCCCTGTGAGAAGATACTGTTCATCCACCAAATTCATGAAGTTGTAATCAGTGGGTGAAATATGGATGAGCCAAAAATGACAGTGGGCTTTAAGCAAGTTCTGTTGTTGTCTCTACTCTCCTTGCTGTTCTGTGGTCGTGCTACAGCAGAGTTTGAACGTTCAAATTCACAAAAGCATATATCTGCTCCAGATAGAAATGTAGGAATAAAGGTTATAGATGGCTCTGGTACAGAGAACTTGTATGGTTTTGAGGATGGTAACTACTTACTGAATGAGAGAAAAGGAGGGAGCAGAGTTTCAGTATCAACTGTTGCAGTATTTACATTGGCCATGGCTGCTGCCACTGGTTTAGGCGCTGTTCCATTCTTCTTTGTGGAACTTGATCCGCAGTGGGCTGGTTTATGCAATGGAATGGCTTCTGGGGTGATGTTGGCTGCTAGCTTTGATCTCATACAAGAAGGGCAGGAGCATGGTGCTAGCAATTGGGTTGTAATTGGGATTTTAGCTGGTGGAATTTTTATTTGGCTTTGTAAGAAGGTAATGGCCCTGATCTTTCTAATTAATATATCTTATCCTAGCTCTTTACAGTTTACATTGTAAGTTTGGTTAATTTTTTAATTTGCATGTCAAGAAAAAAGGGTGCAAACTTATTTGAGAAAAGCCAGAAAGTAACTAGTAGGAAGTTCTCTAAATCCAATTTGATGTTTTAAATGGCAATGAGAGTTAAAATTTAAAAATCTAATCAGTACATGTTTTTTTAAACCAAGAAATGAGACCTTTCATTGATGTAATGAAAAGAAACAGTATATTGTGTAGTAAACCCGTGTGTTTAAGCATTATTGTTTAGCTTGTTATCCCGATCGTATGATTACTGCATCAAAATCTCATTTATTCTTTCTATATGTGGATTTTCAGTTTCTTGAACAATATGGAGAAGTGAGTATGTTAGATATAAAAGGTGCAGATGCAACTAAAGTTGTTCTCGTAATTGGGATAATGACTCTTCATTCATTTGGTGAGGGCTCTGGTGTTGGCGTTTCTTTTGCGGGGTCAAAGGGTTTCTCTCAAGGTCTTTTGGTGACGCTAGCTATCGCCGTGCATAACATACCTGAGGGATTAGCTGTAAGCATGGTGCTTGCATCAAGGGGTGTCTCTCCACAGAATGCCTTGTTATGGAGTGTGATTACATCATTACCTCAGGTATTATATATATAAATTGATTAGCTGTTTGCCTCTTGTGTTTCACTTCAAATTGGAAAAAGAATCTGAGATCAATTAAAGAATCATTATACACTGTAAACAAGAATTTATATGTTCAAGTACAATGTCCAGGTTCTATGGTGGGTAGACTGTAGACATTACATAATGAATGCTTATTCTTGGAAGGGATTCTGAAATTTATTTTCAATATCTGTAATTTATTAATCTCAGTTATCTGTTTGTCACCACTATGGATCCTAGTGAATATACAATTTTTATAAACTGTGCTGTTTGAACCGGTAAAGTTATTTTTCGGTAAGTTCTGCTTGATGTAGTAGATGTGCTATTAGCACATCAACTCCGTGGCATGAAAATTATATACTCTCTCCTTTGCTGGAATTATATAATTCAACTCGACTTGATCCTAATCGGTTAAGGCATATATCTCTAACCAAAAGGATGTGTGTTCGAACCCCACCCCCACATGATGTTTTACTCAAAAAATAAATAATATAATTTGAGCCTAACTCTATTGCAATTTAAATGTCTCAGCCTATTGTAGCAGTCCCCTCGTTCATATGTGCTGATGCATTTAATAAGTTCCTTCCCTTTTGTACGGGATTTGCAGCTGGATGTATGATATGGATGGTGGTCGCCGAGGTCCTCCCAGATGCATTTAAGGTAATCCCAGCTCTAAGATTCTCAATTTCATTTTTTTCCTGTCAACCCGGAATGGAATATAGACTGAGAAAATTGAAAGATATAAAATCTATATAGAACTACCCCAAAAGGGATTTAACCATTCTTCTAAATAAAACTACCCGAAGCACCCTAAGAACTTTGGTATGTTTGAAGATATCATCCAAGGGCTTGGGCTGAAGTGAAATTTTCTTTAGATCTCAAGGATACAGAACTTTGGTATGTTTGAAGATATCATCCAAGGGCTTGGGCTGAAGTGAAATTTTCTTTAGATCTCAAGGATACAGAACTTTGGTATGTTTGAAGAGATCATCCAAGGGCTTGGGCTGAAGTGAAATTTTCTTTAGATCTCAAGGATACAGACGTATACAACCTATGGAACAAATCTTGTTCAAGTAAGGTCGTGGGTTGAAGTAAAAACATAATAACTTAAAATATTGTTATCTCTTGGAACCTAGTTTTATTTGTGGGCATTGCCTCCCCATGCGAGAGGGTTTAGCCATGTACATAATGCAAAGAGTGGCTTTTGATACCCCAGTTGTAAAAGGGGGGAAAAGAAAAAAGAACTGATTTCTGGTTAAGAAAAAATATTAAACTATTATTTAACAGTAGCAGGACACCTCAGACAAGTTATGATCACTCTGGTGACATTCATTTTCAATCATCAGCTGTTTGCTTCTCTGATTTCTTTTAATGAAGTTTTAACTGAGATCATAGTGACATGAAACTTTCTTTTCTTTAATAATGTATATGTGAACATCTATTCTATGGCTTGTATACCATTTCTGCTATTTGTCTCAATTTTTATTTGATTACTCCAAAAGGTTTATATGTTAAATTAGAAGTTGGGGGGTGATGGGAATGATGTGAATTAGGTTTGTTGCTATGCAGTTTTTTAACCGCTGGGCTAGTAATTTTGTTTTTCTCTGCTTTATGGCTACAGGAAGCCTCTCCATCACAGGTTGCATCTGCAGCCACACTTTCTGTGGCTTTTATGGAAGCTCTAAGCACATTGTTTCAAAGTTTCACCCATGAATACAAGTGAGTTTGATCCTTCTATTTAAAACATTTTAACCTTAATTTTATTATTTATTTTAATATTTTTTTGGCTTTAGCACCTATCTTTGTGAGTTAAAATTGATTACATACCTGATACCAGGAAAGGACTATTTAAAATGAAGTCTTGGTGTGACAATTGGCATGATGAAAATATCTTTACTGTTAGTTTAACCAGATGAATAATTTAATTATTAACCATACTGAAATTGATGGCAAAAATTTAGTTTTCATAGCTTAGAGGAAATGGGTTCACGCCATATCAATGAGTTTTTTTGGGAATCCGGTGGAGTAAGGTCAACCAATTGTCTCGTGAGATTTGAGATGTGCGCAAGCTAGCTTTTACAAACATTAAGATAGAATAAAAGGCACTGCAGCCTTGCAATTGGAATGTTGGGCAATTTTTCCTCTTTTCTCTTGATTCCTGTGCTTTTTAAATGATGTGAGAACTTTCTATGTGTGATTCTGCTGTTGAGTTCTAAGAATGAGGTCAGGAGCTCCATGCTAATCTGTGTAAAATTTGATTCAACTTTATATTTGTCATTGTTATTTTCTTCAATTGGATTGATTTGATGTTTTTGTGTTTCAGCTCGGAAGATGTTTCTGGCTTCTTCGTTTCCTTACTTTTTGGCGTTGGGCCTCTGCTTGGTGGCCTTGTTCTAGTTGCATTTGCTCTTGCTTTCCATCTTCAGCATGCCCTGCTCATGGGTGCTGCTTCTGGAATTGCTTTCATCCTCGGTGCCTGGCGACCATTACAGCTACTCTTTTCTTCAAAAATGGATTTTATCCCTCTCGTCTCGCTTCTAACGTTAGGAGCTGCATTCATTCACTTCTCGAATTCCAGTCTTTTGAAGCTTGCTGGCCAGAAAAGAGCTTCAGCAAATGATTTACCCGCTGCAGCCAATTTTCCAATAAGTGTGCACACCCTTCAATCTTTCCTATCATGTGGAGCCGTTGCATTTCATGCTTTAGCTGAAGGGTTAGCACTAGGAGTTGCTGCACCGAAAGCTTACGGATTCGGTCGTCACATGGTTCTCCCTGTTTCTCTACACGGCCTCCCTCGGGGCGCAGCAGTTGCTAGTTGTATATTTGGGGCAACCGATAGCTGGCACGGCTCCCTCATGAGCGCTGCCCTAATTGGGTTCGTGGGTCCGATCTCTGCCATCGGAGCAATACTCGCAGGTATCGACTACAGTGGTTTAGATCACGTGATGGTGGTGGCCTGCGGAGGGTTACTTCCAAGCTTCGGAAGTATAATCAAGAGAGCAATGCATTTGGATACACAGAAAAGTAGCAGTGGACTTGTGATAGGTTTGGGGTTTGCCATCTTGTGTTTGATGTGCACCAAGTTGGTCTGCTTGCACACACCTTACTGCAATTCTGCACCCGAGGCTGTTAGATGATGAACGGTAGCACTCGTCTTTGTAATTATTTTGACAGGTCGTCTGCCGCGTGTTGCTCGCAATGGGACGGGATACTTTTCGGGAGGTTGCAGAAGTGAATGAAAAGCACATACCTCAGGTAAGAAAGCAAACTCATGTCTGTGCTTTGCAAGAAAAGAGGGAGAGGGGCAATTCTAATTTCTAAATGTGCATGTTTTTACATTCTTCTTCTATACGATAGGGAGGGAGGGAGGGGATTTTATTTATGTTATTAATGATACCTTAGAAGAAATTGTGGAGATTGGTTTAGGCTGAGTTTTAAATGATAAAACAAACTGCTCTTTTATGACAATCATTTACATTTTTATGTGACTATTATACCATATAATATACATGGCTTGGTATGTAAAAGAATTTAATTTTGTTGGAATTTATCAATAAATTTTGTAATTAAGAAAAAAAACTGCAACTTTTTGTGAGAATGCGTCTTTCGTGCTCGACCTTCTCTAATGAGAAGAAACAGTGCTACTGTTACTACGAGTTAATCAAATTCTTCTTTTTTAATTTCTTACTTTGCTCTAACAATATCGATTATCGACTTGGTGTAATTTGACAAATGAATGGTAAAATGGACCTTTCATTGATTTTCATTAATGACATCACCTTTCCTAGGGACCTACCCAAATTCGTACAATTATGGGTTCACCTACCCTGACTTGTACAATTTGGCAGCATTTAGTAACCTCAACTTTCGATATTCCTTTTTATTGGAGAAAAAAAAAGAGTACTTCAAAACAAAAATTCAGAGTAAGTCTTCAATACCCCTAACCAAAGAAGAAGAACTTTTTGAGCATCAACTCTAACCCAGAAAAGCTGAAGCAAAAAGACATAATTTTGCCTATAAAAACAACTCATGATCATAGCTAACTCAGGAAATAGTAATCCTCAATACTTGGGCTTTATTATTGTTACAAGCAAAGTAAAATTACCTCTTACTCCTTAGTCACACCCACAGATGATGGAGAGCATATATTAACAATAGAGACAAAGCCAAAATGATATATCAACCAAACCAAGTTCTTGCTGAAAGGCCTCAACTCTGAACTCTGATATCTGAATGGATTCATTGATTCCCATTCTCACTTCAACTCCTCATCTTTATCCCCCTCCAACAGCTTCTCTTTCTCATCAGCTGAATCTAACTCCACGGCTGCTGCCTTCGGCTGCTCGATGCTCTGCGAACCCGTCGCTCGAGCGAGGATAACGAACGACACACCCCCTAGAACGTTGTTCAAACATCTCAACACCACCACAGAGCTCTTGAATGCCAGAGGGGGGAGCCCCTTGGCCAACACGAATTCAACCCCGTTCAATGTTTGGTATCTCAAGTTGCTGCTGACGCCCATGTGGATGGCCCAAGTCAAGGCATTCAACAATGTGGGAGGTGCCTTGTTCGGCGTCTCGAATTCGGGATCCATCTTCTTCCTCAGCTTGATCAGGCCATTAGAGAGTGCGGTCCCGACAAGCCCGGCTGCTAGTCCTACTGCAGCGAAGACGGTACCTTTGTAGACGAAGGTTCCCAATCGATCCAAGACGGTGAAGGCACCGGGTTCGAACATGTGACTCGTGGGGCAGCTTGAAAATATTGCAGGAAGCTGCTTGGCTGCTACCCCAGCTGCTGCAGTGGGTGCCAACAGGTACATGAGAGTGAAGTTCAGTATAGATCCAACGACGAGGGTGGAGAAGACGAAATCGAGTTCGTTGAGACCGAAATTTGGGCGGGACGCCATGTCTCCAAGAACACAAGCACTCACACCAACCAATTCTTCCATCAGAACCTTGAAAGGAAACTGTGGATCCGCCGCAACTCTGGATCTCCACCCCTTGAGAAACAATCCCAAAACTCCAAAACTCGATGAATCATCATCCCCATGCGCCCGATCATCGCTCCAGCCACCACTATCGCCACCTCCGCCACCTCCTCCGCCGCGGCCAACACCGTCCCCACCATCACCACCACCAGCAAGAGAGAGTTCAGATTTCGCGAGAAAACTAGGCCTGGTCAAATCCGTATGAAAAAGAGAGAGAGATCGGGTCCGCGATTGAATCACTGATGAATCGGAAAGAAAAGAGAAAGCCGGAGTGTTGTTGTAAGCATGGTTACACGGAACATTATAGTAATTCCTAGGGCGAAGGGAGCAATGTAGCTGAGCCATGGCCGCCATGATCCTACAAAATCCTTATAAAAACCAACCCAATTCCTGCAATCTGAAAAATAAGCAAACCCAACAACACAAACTCAGCCAAAGATCACAATCCACCATGCAAAGAAAAACAAAAAACAACCCAATTCCACAAAATGTTCATCAGATCTGAAACGGGAGAAAGAGGCAATACAGAACAGAGATCACGATCAACATAACATATACGGAAACAAAATGATGGGAAATGAGAATTACCTCAAGACGAGAAGTAAGAAACGGAAACTAAGAAGAACAAAAAGAAGGATGGAGAATTGGGGTAGCTGGAAATGGAAAGGGCATCGGAGGAGCGCGGCGTAGGCGGCGGAAACCGGTCAAAAAACGCCACTGGTGAACAGAGGAATCTATATATAGAGAGGAGAGGCGTCGATCGTCAGCTGTTAAATCTCTGTCTCTCTCTGTAAACCCTAACAAGATTTCGCCGTCAATGGCGAATCATCGTGTTTAGAGTTAATAAATTTTAGATTGAAAAGATGAACAAATCCGACCTTAGCTCAGTTGGTAGAGCGGAGGACTGTAGTTGGTAAATCCAAATAGCCATCCTTAGGTCGCTGGTTCGAATCCGGCAGGTCGGAATTTTTTCCATCAAAAAGGTTTTTTTTTTTTTTTTTTTTTTTAAGTCAATGCAATTTGGAATTAAATTCATTGTATTTCGTTTATTAAAAAAAAAAATTGAGTCCTTTGAGTTGGGGGAAAATCAAATTGTTCCATTGGGTGGTTTTGGTAATTTTTGAGACTTGGCGGTGGTGTAGTGTTTAGGGTGGTAATTAGAAAGTTGAATTTGTCATTGGGAGAAAATTAATTGAAGTCTGGTGAATTCGATAATTTGAGACTTGTTTAATCGCTAAAGAGTGTTTAGTGACTCACGAGTTGAGCTTATATAACTTATAATTAGAAAGTCAGTCTATGTATTAGTTAGCATGTTTATTTAAATTAGACTGCGAATCCTTTCATCTCAAAGCTACATAAACCTTAACGATGTAGTCTCTAAGAAAGAAGTTTTGTGTAACATACAATTGCAAAATACTTTTTAAGTTTTTATAACTTACTTTATATAATCCATACGAGAAATGTCATTACTTCTATTTAAGTTTAACTACTACTTTGTCGATTTTAATTGATTTTAATTCATTTTGGTTATTGTACTTTAAATTTTATTCATTTTAGTCTCAATATTTGCAAAACGTCTATTTTAGTTCGTACTTTTAAAAGGTAACCATTTTAATCTTTATTTGTAAAATTTTAATATGATGGAAACTCTATAGTACAATTTTATGACTACACTTTAAATAATTTTAGGAGTGAAGTATAATGCTAAAATTGTGATTAAAAGAAATGAAATAAAAATAAAAATGAAGAGATTAAAATAGTTGCTTCCAAAGCACAGGAACCAAAAACGAACATTTTGAAAGTATGAGACTAAAATGAATAAAAGTAAAAATGAACTAAAATCAAGAGTACAATAATCAAAATTGTATTACCAAAAAATTAAGAACGATGAGATAATAACACAAACACAATAGAATAATTATAAAAAACTACTAGTTAAGTTTTATTTTTTTAAAAAAATTATAGTGTGAACGGATAGAATATATATTACATACTCTTACGAAAGTACAATAAATTTTCCCAAGATTGAGAGAGGGAATCAAGTAATCGTCTCTAGTTAAATCCATTCTAACAGTTTGTTGGTCACATTTACTCAGTTCAATCAACAGATTTCATCGTCAATTTTTCATTTTCCTTGAACCGATTTATCGTTTCGACTTCAGTTTTATCCAAAAACTAAACCAAACCGACCCGCTTACACTCCTACCTACCGAGAGAGCCCATAGAGATCAAGATCAACTAAAAGCCAGTCAAGAAACACATGTATCAACAGATTTCATCTGTCAATTTTTCATTTTACTTGAACCGATTTGTCGTTTAGACTTCAGTTTTATACAAAAACTAAACCAAACCGACCCGCTTACACACCTACCTACTGAGAGAGCTCATAGAGATCAAGATCAACTAACAGCCAGTCAAGAAACACATGTTTTCAACTTTTTCACATAATGACTGAAAGAAAGAAGAATCATATATGCTGAATCTGAAAGCAACACAAACTGAGCAGCACTTCGTATGAGTTTTTGCACTGTTCTTTTTATGTATCAGTCCAAAAATATAATTGACATTCACATTGCATACAATACCTAACCAAATATTTCAAATTTGTTTTTTTTTTTCCATCAATAACGTAAAAAACTACACACCATTCAGCCAGTTACTAACACAAGAATAAATCCAATGAATATATTAACTTTGTTGGAAAACTGACCTATTAAAACCCTACACTCAACATGAGGAGCATCCCCTACTAATACTAACATTTTTTTTTCCTTTTACCACTCTGTTCTTTTTTTTTTTCCTTCCCTTTTCCAGTCTCTGTCAAAAATATTAAAGAAAACACAGAAAAAGCCAGCAGAAGGCTCACCAGGAACTGAAGTTAGCCTCCCCTTTATCGTTGCTATGTCACACGGGTGGTTATGCTTCATGGTATGAGTGACCGAATTATGGACCCGGGTAGAGATTGTTTAGGATACATTATGGTATGAGTGCTCACCGACCCGTTTTAGCACGTTTCATTCCACTTGAGTTGAAGGGAGAGACACTGCCACCTGGTCCTGGACTCTCTTCTCTGAAACTCGAATTTAGCATTGCGAGTTCACGTAACTGCTGCCTTTTGATGTAATCGTGACTCTCATCCTGCAAGTGGAAGGTTCACATGCTTGTTAATTAGTTAACATTGCATTCGCATCAAGTAATCAGAATCAAGTCTGTCGCAGAATGAGTGGTCAAAGAGATAAGTAGTGGGTCATATATGATCAACCTAGGTAAATGATAACTTGGCCCAGTTGATTGAAGATAGACTGTTGAAAGCAACTTTCATCTTTCTAACAAGCATATGACTCCCACAAACACCTTTTGGATAATTTTTTTTAAGAATATCACCCACAAATACGTAGGTGGAAATTCAAACCTACAACTTCTCTTAGGAAAGACAGAGATGCCTAACCAGGTTGCCATCTTATGGATTAATTCAAGGAAAACTAAACCATACATTCTAAAAAATAATAAGCGAGCCTTTACTAAAACAGCTATTTCGGAAACATACCACAGGTTTGAGCAGTTCTTCAATAATTTCCTGTGCTTGTCTGAGCTTTATATCAACAATATTGGCTGGTAAATCGGCCTCAATCAAGATGTGCAGCGGTTCATTCAAGTGCTCATAGCCAGGTCGTCCCCGTAGCTTCTCTTCCTTGACAATGTAAAAGTTGAACAAAATTAACTAAGAATACAATTTGTAACCAATATTGCTGCCTAACAGAATGTCAAGAATCCAATGAGAAGAGCAAGATATCTCTTCACTAGACTTGAGAGATCCATCATTCAATATCAATGACGTACATTGAATAAAAAATTGCAATATCCTTATATTACCTTGTCGGGATCCTTTATCGACCCTTTCCCTCGAATGTAGACACGACAACCTGTAGTAACTTCCACCCGTTTCAATGAATTACCCCGAGGTCCCAAAAGCCGCCCTACAAAATTGAACTGATATCCACAAAGAACAGAAACTTCAAGTATTAATATATTAACCCTCTTACTAAGTAATATGTTTGTGCATGTACAGGTTAGACCTACTAGCTAGTGTGCGACCAGCAAATAAAAGAACTTTTATTTTGACAGAACTTACGTTTGGGTAAGTATCCACTGGTATTTCCAAACGTAGAATCCTCTTTACTGTGAGCGAACTAGGACTTGCAGGTGCACTTTGCCAGTCCATTGTCATCCCAGGGGGTCTACTTAATCTCTGTTGTATGTTACAAAAAGGTTATATCATCTTAATACAACTTAACAACTAAGAAGAACTGTTCAGAAGAGTAATTAACATAGATAGAATTCTATATATAAGCATACAAGAGGACTGGTAGCACAAGATATATCAGTATCCGATGATAAAATAACCAATCAGGGGATCCCAAACGTAGAGGAAAGAATTGAACATGAGAGATAATCTGGAAAGAAATTATTGTAATGTATTCAAGTATTCTTGTAAATTTGTAATTACGTTGAATAATGTTTCAGTAAGAGGCCAACTTTTGCAATAAACAGCGGGTTTATCTATATTTGTTACACATATTTCAGCAGATACGTATTTGACAAATATTATTCTATTTTTTGCATTTCATCCAAACAGGTGCTGTTTGGTCTTATCTTATAGATGATGCTTTCATTGAATTTTAAAGTGGAGGACCAACAAAGGCAACCTGTTTAAGACATAATCGTCAAGAATGGTGAAGAAGTTTTTGACAATTCACACAAGTGAAAAGTAGTGAAATATATGCACTATCACAAGCTAAACTTGGGGAATTCAATGGAGTTCTCTCTTCTTCTTCTTTTTTTTTTATATTTCTCTTTTCTGAAGAAAGTCATTGGAGTAAGATTTTAGGTTGGAAGTTACATGTTAATAAAGTACTCAGAAAGTAAGATCTCGACGTTCGAGGCAACTTTCACTATTAATGAGCAATACTGCTGCATGGTTTGGCGTCCAGACGGCACAAGATCTTTCAGGTTAACAATACTGTTGTTGAAAATTAGATAGTAGAAATGGAAATGAAAGCTATATTTGTTTCTAAATGAAGTAACACGAGCATTTATGAGGGCAAATGAGATGCTAATAAGTTAAATAGGATTATCACATGGATGTATTGGGGAACATGAAGTTACCTTATTGAAAACAAACACGCAAAAATAAATGATGAACAAAATGGAGAAAAAACTAGCAATTTATGAGATGTGTATTCCATTCCAGAACAAATACTTAGTCAAAGACAACGTCAAGCCTGCTTCTTCTTTTAAAAAAAAAAAAAAAAAAAAAAAAAAACTTTTCTAGTACAAGTAGTGTGAGGGGGAATGAGAACTTGAATCTCCAATCTCAAGGAAAGGAGTAGATGCCTTTACCTCTAAGCCTGCTTCTTCTCTCAATGCTTATATCCCAAAAATTCATTTAAGGAAAAGGTAACAAACTAGCTTTGGTAATAATTCAAGCTACTAATAATGACACATTGCCACATTTATTGCAGACCCCAATCCCTCAAGCCATAAGGCTACTTCAGAGAGGAATTACAATGTTACCTTTAAATTATCAAGTTAAAATTATTGCATATGTTAACCCATATATCAAAACATAGTAAAGTTAGACTCAAAATGATGGGATCAACAATTATCAGGAGCCAGTTACAAATGAAGTTTTGATGCTACAATAGTAATTACCTCCTGAGGAAGTCCATTCCAGCCACCCAGACCTGAGCTACTAACATTAGATATAAGGTTTGAAGAAGCCATTGGACTAGGACTTCTATGCCGAAGCCTATCAAGGTCACAGAAACCCTGGTTGGACATCATTCCAGAAACCCGCAATATCTCTGCATTTAAAGAGCTAGAAGTGAGAGAAGTTGCCAACAGAATCGAAAGGCAGAATATATGAAAAGAGGGAAGATATGGAAATTTCTTCGCACAATATCTACAGAGAACACCAGAAATTAAGGATACTTCAAAACAATCTGAACTCTATAACAAGATCAGTTTGGAAGGAGAACAAAGAAATCATACTGTTAAGAACAAGATGGAGATATCAATATTGTATTTGGCAATTTAAATGGAGGTTGAAACTTAACCCTTGGAACATTATATGATTATAATTTATAACAAGCCAAAGAATCCAAGGAGATCTCCGAAAGTGCATTCCCCACATAGATATCTTAAAACTAGTGCATATCTCCATGACCTGAAGATACTAGCCTTCATTTCACTTGCAAAGCTTTTCCAAATTCAATATGCAGCCTTGAACTCTCATGTGGAAGGTCAAAGTCTTATAAAGTGACCAACAAATAATAGATTGGGAACATGTGAATTTGATTTCTTTGAACATCTGCCACTAATGAGAAGGCTTTTGATCTTTCAGTGGTAAAATGGTTCATGGCGTGGTGCATTTGTAGAGGTTTTTTGTAAAGGAAAATATATCTCTAAAATTTATGAAGACAAATCCACCATAATGGGTATGTATAAGATTTGGGATCTCATGTGCTAGAAGAATTAATCAGCCTTCAGAAGTAGCTAAGGTTTTTTTTTCCCTCTACACTTTCAAACTCAACTTAGACATGCTAAGTAGAAAACCAATTAGAAGAGCGAGTCAAGAACGCCACAAGTCAAAACAAAATCAACCAATATGCACATGTCTGCTTAATTAAAAGATGAAAGTCGCTCAGATTGACTCAACGATTTCCAACAAAAACATGCTCAAGCACTTTAACTTGAAGTAAGAGACCAAGGGCTTGATTAATAATGTCTCTAATCCATGCTTTCTATTGCTTGCCATCTATTTTTAAAAAGCATGTGCATTTGATAATGTTTTTTATCTCTCATTTCTCATTTTCAGAAACATTTCCAACATTCAAACCATGAAGAATTGAAAACTAGAACTTCTTCATCCGGGTTTCTTATTTTTAGTTTTATAAAATATCAATGAAAGTGTAGAGTGTGAAAGAAATTAACCATAGGATAAGAAAAGAAAACACCCCACTATAATATCTAAAAATATCCTTTTCAACGACATTTTCAAGTGAAACTTTTATATTTTTATTAAAAAACAAAATAACAAACACAAAACAACCCATCTCTACTTTTTTAAGTAAATGGAGGGGGAAAAAGCAAGACTTGAAAGATTGGACAATGATAAGAAGTAAACCCCAACGCACATTTTTCTTTCTTCTACACAAGGTAAACAGATACAAACAAATATAAAAGAAGGGTCAACCATTAATCAAAAACCCAAAAACAGTACCAAGCATGGCCACCGTATAGAATGTGAAAGAAACCATCACTGAAAAATGCACAATTCAACAGTCAAAAGTAGAGGGCGAGGGAAAACAAAGAGAGCGATCGCTGTAAAAGACTGAAGAGAAATACAAAAATCCACCGGCCATCCCGATCCAAACATACAGACATACATATCTCCACAACAATTAAGCAGCTAAAAAACACTAAAAAGAATGTGCAAAACGGCAAAATTGAGAGAAGGATTCCTAGACCTTGATTCAAAAGTCGGCTGCAGATCGGAAGAATTTGCATGAAGGGACCGAACTTCTGATGCTCCGCCAGTAGCTCCGACAAGTACTGACTACAAATTACACGGCAAGAACAGAAGTGAATTGATTGATTATTCAACTCAGTCAAGCTGAAGAAACCCAACAATTAACAAGGCAGAAGAAGAAGATGAAAAAATTCTCGAAAACAGAATTATCAAGCGGAGTACCTATCGACATCAGGAGTACTTCTGATGTGAGGAGAGGCAGCTCTTGCAGGGGAGAAGTTGGTACTGTACAGACCAGACATGGCCTGTGAAATTAAACAGGGAGAGAAATGAATATTCAGAGAATTCAAGGGATTTGGAAGTGGACGAGGGTTGTGGAGGCCGATGGGCGGCGGCGATGTCACCGGAGAAGACGGAGCCTCCGTCGACGGTGTGAAGTAGGCGGAGGCGGAGCTTGGAGTGAAAAGGGTGGACGCCTGTAAATATGGAACCCGAAATCAGGAAAATCTATGATTCTTAATGGTCGTCGTTTTCTCTCTCTCTCTCTCTTTTTTCTCTTTAATTTTATTTAATTTTCTTTCTTTCTCTCCTTTTTTCCCCCAATTTCTCTTTTATTACTTATGAAATTAAAATTTAATTTAATAGGCTTGAAGGTTCAAGAATAATATATTAAAATTTGTATTTAAAATTTTGCATTTTTTGTTTGCTAGATGGTATTTTTGTATATTAAACATTATATTCAAATTACAAAAATTTATTTGATGTACTAAAAAATTTGATGTTAAAATTTTTTTAGATGATATTTTTTGTATTTGTTGTAAATTTGAAGTAGAGATTTGATTTTAGGACTACCTGATAGTGGGCAATAATTTATTTTCAAACTTTTAAGTTTTAAAATAAAATTTATATCTTTAATTTAATTTGTTTATCTCTTAATTTTGTCATTTTTCTTTCATTGTATGTCAATAAGTTTTAGGTCTTAGTTTAATCAGGGTTTAATAGAAAAATATAATCATTTAAAATTACTAACAATAGGCTCATTTACCTAAATCTTAAATTGACATTGGATTAGGTGGGATCACTATTACAGAATATGTATGAGTAAAGTATTAAATTTAACTCACAAATCTCTTTTGATTGTTGAAAGTTCAAGTAGCTGCGATATTTTGAATTTAATTTTATTCTATCATTATATTTTAATTAAGGAGGCTAGTTTACTAGTATTTATATGTTCAGATCTTGTAGCTTCTAAATATTAATAGAAATTCAAAATAAATTAAGAAATAAATATATATTTAAAAGATAAAATTTTATTTTACATTAATTAACATATTGTATTACAAATTTGAAAAATAGATATCATATTTGATTTTTAAATGTAAGAGTAAAACAATTAAAAGGTAATTTTATTTGTTTGAGTAAGGGTGAAAATTCGAATTTTTACCTTTGGATCAAGTACCTTAAACATACTCCAATTGACAACAATTAAAAAGTTGTGCGTTTATTTATTTATTTGTCTAATAAATGTGCGAAAAAAACATATTTAATAATTAATTATTATTCGTCGTTCTCATTTTGCGACACGTGTTCACCATGCACTCAATGAAGGTCGAGTCCCGAGTTATTAAAATGAGCGGAGGAGAGGTCCTATCTTGCAAAATTAGTCAAATACAAGGGTTTGATTGTAAATAAATCCAATCTAACTGGACAATAAGACAAGTTTGGAGTCCACATTTTATTTTTTTTCCCTATTATTTATTTAACATTATTATTATTATTTTGTTCAAGTTCCAAACTATAACGTTTTGCAAATGAAATTATAAAGTTTGAAATTTAATATCTTGTGCACGTGGATTTTCTATATTTTTAATTGTGTTCTTTTAGCTTTTATTAATTAAATATTACGTTAAAATACTATTTTGGTTTCTATATTTTTATTTTTTATTTCTTGTACTTCTTATTTTTTTAATTTTGTATATTTTAATATATATACTTTTGAGATAGTTATTACTTTAAGAAATGGATCATTTTGGTCCTTTAATTTTTGTTTTATTTTGTTTTTCAATCACAATTTTGACATGGCAATATACTCAAATATATTACTTGAAATGTAGCCGTAATTTTATATTAAAGAGTTTTTAATGCGTATAGAATTTTGTATTAAAATTTTATAAATATTGATCAAAATTTTCCTAATAAAAAGTACATGGACCAAGAAGAATGTTTTAAAAATACAATGACTAAAATAAACCAAAGTTGAAAGTACATAAGAAAAAAATGAACATTTTAGAAATAGAGAGACTAAAATGAATCAAAGTTGAAAATATAAGGACCAAAATAATATGTTAACCTAAATATTAATGTGATATATTGATTTGAATAACTGTTTATGCAATGAAATCAACCAAGGTCAGAACTGGTCAACAGAGACGACTAGAACGAGCTTGATTGCTACTTTGCCAGGAAAGACATGCACAATAAAAGTAAACACTCTGACGTTTAAGTCAGCTTAAGTTTGACCTTATTATAGAGACCGAGCTAGAATGTGATATAGGGTGAAGCACTCTATTTATAGGTTAAGGATCCAATAGGGTATCTGACTGCCGTTACTGATGTTTTTCAGAAGGTCGACTTGTCAGGTGCATAAGCTTAGAACAGGTAAGACTTTCAGCTGGAGGTTGTGACTTTTCGGCTAAGTAGGAAGGTTGGTCCTCTCTTAGTTAATCTTCAGAGAGACTCAGTCCTTTCTATCCTTCTCCATTCTCCACGTGATAAGACTATTTTTACCCACAACACAAATAATAATTTAACATGAAACATCATAAAGTTGATGGAAAAAATACGGTGTAAAAAATAAAGCAAAAGATGTATCATGTCGTCAACCATTGTTTATCTTTATTCTTATTTGTTGGTCTCCAACATTTATTGTATCCAATTGACCTATCGCACTCAATTGTCATGTTAGGTTAAATCATAACTCGTTAATATAACAAACATGTGATGTTCAATATTTAAATGACAAAAGAACAAATTAAAGATCAAAATTTTTGAGATGTAGTTTATGCTTCTTTTTTTAGTTTAAACATAATTTACGGTTAAGACATATGTGTACCTCTCTGAAGTTGGGTCGTATATATATTCAGTTCCCACCATTCTATGTATGGTGTAATATTTTGAATTTTTTTTTTCAAAGTTCAAGAACTAAATATACACAACAATCAATATTTATAGACTAAAACTGCAGTATAATACTTTAAAAATTGATCGTCAAAATAATAGGCTAAAATATTATTAATTATTTATGATTTTACAAATTTTAATTTGGTCATACGATCTAGTCAAATCTCACAAATCGTCTACAGTTATTACCTCAATACTACGAGTTTTTCATGTGAGTAAAAGACAGTTTAGGGACGGTTTGTGATGTTTAACTCAACTATAGAAATCAAATTGAAATCATAAGGATTAAATTGAAACTATGCCCAAACCACAAGGATTATATTAATTGTAATTTAACCAAAGTAACATTAAATTAATTTTATTATTAAAGTCCTAATGGTTGAAGTTTTGCTTTTTTAGTACAACGTAGGAGTGAGGTCTGAACTTATAATATTTTGGTCAAGGATATATATTTTAACCATTAAATTATATCCACTTTAAGATGTTTTGGAAATAGTTACATAGAATATGATTATATAACAAAACCCTAAACTTTACATTATAAAACCAGTAAAATTGAATAAGATAGAATTATTTTGTGAAAGAATTTTTTGTCTAAGTCTTTTAATATTCAGACAATTCAAAAAATATATTGATCAAATTGGTACAGACATTTAATCAACCAGGCTCAGACAACCATATACTTCGATCCGAACATCAGTGCTTCACTGTACGATCTATATGTATAAATATCATCATTTACATCCAAGAATATAAGTAGGTCCAGCTCAAGCTTGTACGGTTAAGATTGTTGTACCACGACCTCATAAAAAAAATAATGATAAAGACCTAGGGTAAAAATGGAATATGGTAATTCAATTTAATGGGCCACGTTTAAACAATGGCCCATCAAACAAAATCAGGCCCAAACAAAATAGGCCTGGATCTGGCCTTGAATGAAGTCAATCCAATGCCCATGAGCTCTGTGAGACATATGGTCGAGCGCGTTCAGCCATCGAAGGAACCTCCGAGATTTCCACAGTAGAGAGAGAGGAGAAGAGGAAGAAGAAGAAGAAGAAGAAGAGAGAAATGGGATGGATATGGATGGAAGCGGTTCTTCCTCTAGGAATTATTGCTGGGATGCTCTGTATAATGGGGAATGCTCAATATCAAATCCACAAAGCCGCCCATGGCCGGGTATTTTACTTTTTACTCGACTTTATTTTACTGGATCCCCCTTTTTCTTTTTTCTCTGGGTTTCGATCAACGATCTGTAATCAAATTTCCGGTATTGGGTTTCTGTTGTTCGTTGTTTGTGCAGCCGAAGCACATCGGTAATGATATGTGGGACGTTGCCATGGAACGCAGGGACAAGAAACTCATGGAGAATTTCTCCGCCGCTTCCCATAGTTAATTTTAGACCTGCATCGCCGGGTATGTATGTATAGGGTTTTATTATTATTTTACTTTTTCCCCCTTTTTTGGGAATTTTGGTTTTGGGTGTCTCTTAGGACAATCCTCTTTCTTGGTGGGTAGCGTTTCAAATCTCTTGGATTTGGATAATGTTAAATTTGAAATGCAGTATGACTTTTGATGAAAGGTATCCATATTTTTTTAATGATATGTTTGCAAATAGTGGTAGGAAACAGTTGCAAGCTAGTTGATTTGGATACTCGAGGTTCAGTGTGTATATTTATGTTTATAGGAAATAGAACTCTATGGAAAAACGAAGTATACAGAAGGGAATATTAAGACAATCTCACAAGTAAGCGAAACGAGTTGTGGAAATGCTCTCCCCAAACTGATGAAGGAGGCTAATTATGAAAAAGCCTTAGAGAAGGTACTCCAAGAGGGGGAAGGTCACATGGTCCGTAAGATCCCAAATCTTTAAAAATGTCTATCCGTTCCATCAAAAGCTCTTCTATTCGTAGTCCCCACAAAATATGATGTCAGATTTTAGCTAGTTTCTGTGTCCATTGTGGTGCTATGTTATTCAGTTAGTCGTTTATTAGCTACCAGTAGTGGTAGTTGATTAGATGAATAACTGTTAACCGTGTAAAGAGAAGTATCCAGCTTATAAAACTTGTGCATTTACAAACAGAAATCCTTCAGGCGTCTAGGAAGAAATAAGGGTGCACGTCGGTTAGTTGGTGTTGGTTTTGGCCTTTGGGACCAAACTTACATCTAAAACTGACCTATCAGTTTCCACATAGTGTAAATAGACAGTTTCTGGTGGTTCATTTAAGCCAACTCTCCGGCCTTCGGATTGATCTTCAACTTCAATCAAAACCGAAATGAGATGGGAGTGAGTGAGGTTGGGTTGGTCAGCAATGGTGGGACTACAAAGACGGACAACGGTGGCGACGATGGTGACCTCAGTTGATGCAACTGAGAGACAAGATCAAGATGAGAGTGAGTGAGGTCCAGAGAGATTGATGTGTGAGAGGGCTATAACTGAGAGAGTGAGAGTTGTTGCACGAGAGGACTGTTACAGAAATTGACAATTGAGCTTGAGAGGGCTACAACTGAAAGAGTGGAGTTGTGTAGTGGTAGTCTG